ATTCTTGTAGTGAACACACACTTAAATTTGGTAATTGGGTCAAATACAAAATGTAGAATTATTCCCTCGTTACTGGATTCTTTGTCACTGTGGAACGCTTCCCTTGTTGTCGTGCCAGTTTTACAATAACGTCAGTATTCAGTGTTTTACAATGAGAGCTTATGTCATCTCTGTGTAAACCTGAGCCGTACAGTACACAACAAACAAAGGAGTCGCTGCTTTTCCTTCATTTCCTGAACACAATTAATTGTGGGGTTTTAAAAAAAATCATACAATCCCTCAATGTATATTAGATCCAATATAGAATAAATAATTTATCAAGTGACTAATTCAGGGAATGCCTCTTTAAATATTTTGGGTTTTAATAAATTTAAGTCCTGGAAATTCTTTAAATACCAAAAGCGTAACATTTTGCTAATTTTGCTTACAGCTTCACTTTTCTCAGAAATCTGAATTTCTGCATGATTAACAGCGAGTTGGTTCTTTTTAAAGATATTTTTGGGAGTTTGTGTCAGGAGTATCTTTCCTTTGGGGTCATTTCTAAACTCAGTTCACTGTCTTTCTTTCCCACAAGTGCTCAGGAAGTTGGAGCATGAAGACATGGAAATTTGGTGAGAGGTTTTGTTTTGTTAGTAGGTGAGTCTCAGGATGGTTTCCATTATTAGGAACTTTTTCTGAAAACTTGAAATATACCATTTAAATCACAACTGGGGAAGCTTTCAGTGATACTGATAATTTATGTGATTAATTTCTGGCAAGGAAAAAATATTGGCATCCATCTTAGAACTGTGCTGGTAAATTTGATCCATATAGTGTTTGTTTAAACATTATTTCTGAAAGCATTTTCCGTAAAGCAACAGTCAACTGAGTCAAGTGACCTCTAAACCGGTCATAAGACACAGGAAACAACAGAGCAAGTTTTTATCATTTTTGTTCCAATTCAAAATATAAACAAAAGAAATACCTGAAGCACAAAAGACTGGCAGTACTTTCAATGTAATCCCCAGTGCAGGAACTCAGAAAAACAGTATTCGCTGACACATCACGGCTTTTGATTGGTTGTAACCTGTGTTAACTTTGACAAGTTTAAGGGGAAGTTGTAGGGAAGTGTTTCTGTGACCCGTGTGTCATGATGACATTTTAAATAAAAGGATTAAAGATTAAAATGAGGGTGGGGTGTGGTGAAATGATATCTTACAGTGTATATGTCCAAAGAAAAACAGGGCAGCTGCTTTCAAAACATCTTATTAAAGACCACAAATTACATCAGCAGAAACAAAATGGTTAAAAAGAGATGGATCTTCAAAATTAATTTTTCCAGATAAATGCCTCCCAAAAGGAAACGTGCAAAGATATTCTAAGTTGGATGCATTCTCTAGCAAACTGAATACAAATAAAATATTAACATGCAATTTCAAAACTCTATTATGAACTTACACTAATCTACATATGACTTTAATTGTGGTAACAGCACACGATGTTTGTAAGATTTAGGAATATTTTTCAAAGTATGTAATGTAAATTTAATAAAATATTAATAGGAATTTTAAATATTTTAATACAGAGAAAAACGAAATATTTGCATGTTCAGTCAGTTTTGGTATTTTTATTTAAATTGCCTGCCCTGCACTTGTTTGCAAATATGACTTTGAATTTTACTGAATAACTGAATTTCATTAATAAGGACCCTCTATTTCATCTATGTTCCTGTTTAATCAAAGCACTTTTAATGAACAGTTAGATTTATTTATAAAAGTTAATATAGGCATGAAAATGTAAGTTTTCTAAGCATATCGGGTGATTTAGGTCTGTTAATAATGTTACTGTGAAGGTCTGGCGTGTCGTCCAGACTGTATCCGAGCCTCAGACTCTGTGCTGTCTGGGACAGGCTTCAGGCCCCCGTGGCCATGACCAGGATAAGCAGGTGGAAGATGGATGAATGGATAGGTGGAATAATATTAATGAAGTATTAAACAATAAACTGAAATGGCCTTTTACTTTTTGTACTTTACATTAAACACAAACATTAATATTAATGTGGTTATCATTTTCAGAATTATGTTAGTTCTCAGTGTTGCTTAAAATAATTGCCATTCTGTAGAGTTCCTTGAATAAAATTACGCACTTCTAGTTTGGCTAAATCATTTTTACAAATATCCTTAGCGTACCCTTTAGTGTACAATTTGACCAGAGTGTGCCGATGCAGTTTAATGAGGTCTTAGAACCCGAAATACTCCCGCCTAACATCTCACCTTTAAGAATAATCTAAAGAGGTCATCTCACAGAGTCACCTCATCAGCACTCTGTCTGTGTTTATTCTATGGAAACAAGCACTTTGGCTGTGGACAGACCATGTACGCCAAGATGACCTAAAAACCTTGTCTGCTTTCATCATCAAAGTCTACACATCCTGTAACCCAGCTGGGCATGTCACAGCTACTTCAGGCGGGCATTTTTAGGACTTTTATATGTACTGTATGGGTAGACGAGGGCAAATAATTGTCTAAACACTCCTAAACAAAACAATAAGCGTCTCTTTAAATTTTTGTCTCCACCACATAAACCATCTTTCTAAAACTTTTTTGTTCTTTAGAAAATGACGGAACCACTAAAATACACTGTATAAACGGTAAATAAATCTTTCCAACAGTCATGCTACAGGGGCAATTGGATTGTCGCAATTTGAGTGATATGAATACTGTAGCCACTTTTTTTCTATCAATTCTTAAGGATAAATAAATTCATTTACGTATTTTAGGCCTTTAACATTTAATTCCAGCAGGTCAGATTACCAAAACTCATTTTTAATCTATACAAATAAACAAAGGGTTAAAATCAGTCTCCATTCATCAGTTAAGCTCTGTATCCAGTTTTTGTGCTTGTGGCAGAGATAACGGTCTGCCCCTCCAGATAAGCCTAAATGCATTATCTGCTTCTGTTCATGATATGGGTGCTTTGTCAGCTCCAGCTTCTGACACAAACAGCATCTTTGATAAGTGGTCAGATCTGCAGAGTGCGATGTCAAACCAGCACTGTTCTGTTCATCTTTGTGTGCCTAAAATTAGCATCTTTGTTACCCATACATGTCGCCATGCGCAGTCTAAATAAAATGATGTCGACTGTGATTTTATCGTTATTTTCCCTGATATAATGGAATGCTTATCATGATCGTGTACTGGATAAGCAGTACAGAAGATAGATGGATCTATAATTAAAGTATTTATTTTATTTTACATTTAGCAGAAGTTATCATTATTCTGTTTTTCTTGACTATTAAAAAGAAAGAAATGCAGGATATACACTGTTTTATTTTAACTGGATGGATTGATTGTGTCTGTGTGACTTTTTCTCTTAAATGTATAGCTGTTAATTAAAACTAATTAATCTGTTGATCTTTGCTTTATGCAAAATCCATGAATAAAAGGAAATATTATTTAAAATACTATATACAGTATGTGTCCTTTTAAATTTTTATTAAGCTTCTCGATTATATACAAATATCACCATTAAATTATTTCTTATGCTTAAAGTGTCGCAGTCTTTAACTTCCTTTTACATTTTCTGTCAGTAATAATTGGCTATGATTACGCCAAGGGGCAGCGGAGGTAGCTCGTAATCCTGAGCGGCTTTAAGTAAACAGAGCCGTAAGTTGGCTCATTAGCAGTAGTGTGTGAGTAAAGTTCCTCAGTGCAGGTAAACACGGAGAGAGGTGGTCCCAGGGAGCCAGGCAGGCCGCCTGAGCTTCAGCACAGCCCAAGGAGCCAAACTGATTACAGTCAGATCCCTGTAGCCAAATCCCAGTCTGCTATTTGTGGAGTTAAACAGGGTTAAAACAATGAAGAGTTAGATAAACAGTAGCAAAGGACAAGTATGAGTTTGCAACTAAATGTACACTTCAGTTTCTCCGCGTCAGATTTATGCCAGTTTTCAATCTTCCTATATTTAACGGAAATAAGCTCATCTTGTCATAATATAGTGAAAAAAATCACATTATTTTAGATTAGTTTTTCGTTTTGTTTTCACAATGGTGAAACGAAATGTATATCAACAATTTGAAATGTATAACCTCATGTGCATGTATATGGACCCTCTAAATGAGGTACCTAATATGTTTTAATACAGGTATTGAGACTGTTCCACTGTACAGTTCCGGGTGCACTGCGTTAGTCCAGTGTAATATGCATCATGTCCTTTAGAACAGGTCTCAGCTTTCCTGCAAAGTGAAACAAAGTGAGACAATAAGCTCAAGTTATGTAAATATTCTTATTGCATGGCTTCCAATGTTTGCTAAGTCTGTTTACCAAGGATGTTGCCTTGGTCTCTTTTTCTTTTCTTTTTTTTACATAAGGCTGCAAGATTGTATTTCCATCATCATACACACTGATATATGCTGCGTTGCGGAATTGCCAGTGGTATAAGAACAAAGAGAAAACACCAAGTGAGCTGATTTTCAGGCAAAACTAGCTCACTGATATAATCGGCACAATTTTTCAGCATTATCTATTGTTTGCTTTGCAGGAACCCTGAATGCAACCCATAGGTTGGTATGATAAATCAAACCTGAATATTTTATTCATTTGAAGTTCCTTCCATTCTATTTCAGGTATTGTCCAAAAACCACAAATGTTAGAGGATCACATTAGTCATTTTACAGTTTTCGATATAGAACATAATCTTTAATAAGTACGTAAAGTTGACCATTGACAGCATCAATGAAAGCATCACAGAGATTTACATGTCTGGATGATTGCCGTTAAATATTAGTACTGCCAAACCAGCGACATATCCCCAGTATGAAAGATGATCTATCCTGAGTATGCAACACATTGGACTCACTGCAGAATTACAGATCAGTTTGCATAGGGCACATTGAGGAAGTAATATGCAAATATGATCTTAGCGCTCTAATGTCAGAAGCCCTCCCACTGCATTTCCTGTAAAGACAACCATAAGATAGCTGAGTGGGAGTTGTTTGTAAGATGGCGTCAAGGTGATTATCATCATTTATCATTGTGATCAAATTATTGACACTTTTTTTCCCTGTAAAATGCTTATCACCTCGTCAGTCAGAATTTTCTAGAACACCACTGCTACAGGCGTCCACTGATGACAAGACATGTAAGTAGCTTGTAAGAAACTAAGTAGCAAAATAAAGGGTGTAGTTACGGAAACACAAACGTCCTCTAATGGGTTAGAGTGAGGGCACATGCAGTAGGTGGACGATGACATTTAATTTAATCCTTTTTAATAAACGAGGGAAAGATTAGTTTGCGCTAAAATACTTCATTGCATGTAGGCCTCCTTTGTAGGTTTCACTAGCAGTTTTGATACATACAGGTCACCTGCATTACATTCATTTTCTTTAAAAATGCTAAGCATCATAGCCAGACAGCGATTAAAGACATTTTGGCTACAATCTGTTAAATACTGGTGCTACTGAACCCAGAAAAAAATACAGTATTTGCGTGTGCATGTGTGGGAATATACAGTACATCCTGTGAATACTGAGCACACAAATGTCATTATAATAGTTAATACTATATAACTTCTGATAGTTAAGTACTGAGACTGGAGACTTTGATTGTGATTTTCAAATATGTTTGACTGGAATTTTGTTAAATACTGTACAGTCTTGGCAGTGTTATTGTACTTTTACAACTGAGTCAGTTTTTAAAAGCACCAAATTTAGACAGGTAAAAACTGAATACTGCTGAGAAATAGCACTTACATTCATAAATCAAAAGAAAAATGGAAATATATGTGTAATATTATAACATGCATGGAAAATGGTAAGCCATATTACTAATTACCTTTGCTAGCTATTTGCTAAAGCTTTAATTAGCGAGATTTCATTCTTAGTTACACTTGTGTACTGTGCTCCGTTGGGTCCTTAGACTCCAGCTTCAAAAACATCTGAAACAAAGCATTTTTTCACTTATCTCAAATTTGATATCAAGTTCCCTGCTAGGCCACCTTGTAGTAAGCTTTGTCTGTGCTGGACACAATACTGCCAGCCCATGATATGGCTTGTGAGGAGGCTCAAGGGTGAATATATTTTCATTTCCATCTTTGCAGAATTATCTTAATGTTACTCGATACAACTGCTTTATTGCATTTAATATATAATTATAAATCGAGTTATAAATGTACATTTATTATTTAAGGTGTTGGATCCACAGCCTAGATGGGCCTCATTTGCATGCGCGTGTCCTAAAGAATGGATTGTGGAACAGAGGGCAGAACGATGAAGGGAGAAAGAAAGGAGAAGAGAGGGTGAGGGATGGGGAGCGAGCGAGTGAGGCGCGAGGTTGCCTCAGTGAGAGCAGCTGTACGAAGGACATGGTGGGCGGAAGTGGTGCAGCTCGTGGGAGAGCTCTGACTTCAGCTGCCAGCCGTCCACACAAACTTATGGACAGTCCATAAAAAATAGCAACATTTTACCACTATCTTTAAGACCGTTAACAAAATAGCTAAATTGTAGCTGATTTTCCCTCTACTGAGCATGGCCTGTGAGGACTTACCCTACATACATACAGTACACATGGCCTGTGAGGACTTACCCTACATACATACAGTACACATGGCCTGTGAGGACTTACCAATTACAAAATTACTTCCCACTCATTTGTATATGGAACTTTTTGTAAACAAGTCAGGGATTATCCCTGAACAATGTAGCTTACTTTGTTGATTATTATAAGAGTATTTGATCACTACAGTACTTGATCACTACATTACTTTAAGATTACTTGATTACTACACTGTTGCAGGTGAATACTAGGGTGCAAGTGTTTTAGCAAAGTATGTTACAATGTTAGTAACATCATAATCTAATCGTTTACTTATTGAGTGAGGAACTGAGTGACTTGTATATTTGACAATGTTTACTTTAATAGTACATAATAATGCTAATATAATGCATAAGAATAATGATAGACATTTTTACATTCCCATTTCCTGCACTGCTTTTATTCAATCATTTTAGAGTCAATTACTGTATGCATATGCGGCAGGTCACCCTGCATTGGTGACGAACCAGAGCATCTGTCACTGCTAACAACTGGCATCGCCGCACAGTTGTCTCAGTTGAAATTTTTTAGCATCACAAAATTGCTACGTGGTACACGGAATCAGCAGTGTGTGTCCCCACTTGGTCATGATAACCGTAAACTAATGATGTAAGCTAAAGTAGACAGATGGAAGATTCAGAAAAAGAGTGCAGGCACATTTAGCTATTCTGCGAAATGTTCAGCAATCTGATAAAACAGCGGAATGCAAAATACTTGCTGTGAGTTTCCTTCAAAAATGCAAAGTTTTAATTTTCCTGCTCTGGGGCAGAATAATCCCTGTGTAGCTGTGCTAATTATGCTCTGTCTGGTTGTTAGTCTTTCCTTGTTGATAAAAATTATGGACCTTCACTGTGGTAAAACTGCCTAAACGTAACAATTAAAACCACAAGCTTTATTTCTTTGTGTTTTTTAAATATAATCTGATAAAAATTTCAGCACCACACTTTTCTTTTTTGATCATTAATGAAACCACTCTGGAAAAATCACAGGTCTGTTAAAAACAAAAAGAATACGACTTTGTATGATGTCAGGTACCTCTGTAAATTTAAGGGGAAATTTATTACACAGCTAGAATAATTTTTCATTTCCAAGTTCCGAGTTTATCAGTCCTGGAGCACTGCAGTAATGTTATTGATTGCAGTTTCCTATATCATAAAAAAGTTCAATTATGGTTGACTAATCAGCATATTAATGCTAATGCTGTTATGGAGATGGCAGTGGACAAAATAACAGAAAAAACTAAAATACATGATAACAATTAAAGCACTCATGTATAATGCATTATAGATACCTTCATAATGCTTTATAATGCATTCCGAAAGTATTACAAACATGGCAATAACTATTTATAAAATGTCATAACACATTATAACCATGTGTAATACTTATTATGCTTTATGAAGCTCTCATCTATATACTGCACTATAAATACATAATGCATCATACTGACCATTAAGGCGGGGGAGTGAGTAGTTGTCAGTGTTGACACACCACAGCACACAGTACACAACAACAAAATATGCCCTTTGCAATTAACCCATATGTGACATTGTGACATAGCAGAGGGCAGCTAATTCAGTACCTGGGGAGCAGCGCTTGGGGGCGGCATCTTGCTCAGGGCACCTCCGTGGTACTTTGCTGGTTAGGGAATCAAACCAGCACTTGTTCAATTACTGTACAAGTGTGTGTCCCTAGCCATTAGGCCACCACTGGCAATGTACCAATGCATTATGATGGTATCTATAGTGCATTATAGATAAGAGCTTCATTGAGCATTCATAATATATTATAAAAATGGTTATAGTATGTTATGCCTTTTTATAAATATAAATAGCTGTGTTTATAATACTTTATAAACGCATTATAAAGTATTACGACAGTATGTATAATGCATTATGATGACTGCCATAAGTAAAGCATTGCCAAATACATTAATATCAAGGAGTAGGGTCATCCTTGACCTCCTGAACGACTTAAAACCTTCTTAGAATGCTGTCATACAAATCCTCACACCATATTTATTGAAATATTGAACAATTCCTCGTATGTTGTTTGAGGGATGAAGAAGAAGGACCCCTACATTGTGCTCTGCACTTCTCAACTTCTTTAAGGCTTCAGTAATGTTCACATTTAGTAACTGGGATGGTCATGGAAGGTAGCTGACTTCTTGGTGTTCATAGAACCATGGGGAACAATGCGTGAAGCGAATGACTCCCATGAATTGGCTGCCCATACCATTATGGACCCCTCAGTTCTCCTAACATAAAGCTCTCCAAGTATGTTAAAAATGGTGAAAGGTGCCTCAAAAAGCTACAATACTGTTCTTCATTGCTCTTGTCTTTTTCTGCATTGGCCTTGGATGCAAGTGGATTCCGAATGGAAGCCATGCCATAAATTTCAGCTTTGTGAATCTCACGACAAACTGTTTTTCTCAAGAATGGGTAACAGATGTGCTGAGTCAGTTTGGGGGTAATATTTGAGGCTGTACTTTTGTGCTGTTTAGCAAGTATCATGTTAGGTATCCGTCTACCCTGTGTGTGAGCTTCAAATCTAAAGCACTGTTCCTGTGGCTTTTTTCCATGTGTGTCATATGTTATTATGGTTTTTGAGGCTGTTCTCTTTAACACGTTAAATAATTTTGTGCTTTTGTGACAAATGCACCTGCAGTCTCTGTGAAGCTTGGTCAGATGCATCAAGTTGCTTCGGGATACTCAGCTCTCTGAGTGGCGATATGTGCATTCGAATTAACATGACGAATTTTCATGCATTTTCCCCATTATTTATAGCTATAAAAACTGCCTTTTCATTCACTGATTTAAGGTTATATGATACTTCACCATTCTCAATGCTGTTGAGTTTATTTTTTAGCAACCATTATATGGTACAAAGGACAATTCACTATTAAATCTGAAAGTCCAGCAATCCTCCGCACGTCGTAATGTAAATGTGGCCTTCTCAGAGAAAGCGATGTCTTACAGTAGATCACAAATGGAACATCTGTAAGAATTTGTAAGTGAGAATTTACATGAGTGTCATAAAGAACAGAGCTTCCTGAAATAGTCTTACAGAGGTGTTCTGCATCTCCAGGTGGGTGAATGTAAGGTGTGGGGATCTGGCACAGTCCCCGATATAGTCCAGGAGTATGCCTTCCTACATGCCAAGAATTGCAGGTTACCGCCGCTCAGTGTGGAGACTGAAAGTATGATAAATAATGAGGGCGGCAGATCCTGAAATAGCGACCCCCTTCTTTTCTGTGGTCTGCTTTTGTGAAGCTTTCGTCCACCCGTGACTTTCCAAGTGAAGCAGCCCTTCTGCCTCCTCCGTTTTGGTTAACATCTCAGCTAAATTTGCCACAGTGCTCCTGTAATTAAGCTGTGCTGGGAGGCACCATACATTCTGGCAGCTGGATTTTTTTTTTCATTCTCACTGCTTCTGAAATGCAGTTAAAGATAATTTTGCCAATTATTTAGAGCCATTGACCCTAATAAGACAGCAGATTTTATACAAATGTGCAAAACATTAAAAAGTATATATATATAATTTTTCTCCCATTTACAGTATGGGTGAACTTAAGAGCAGAATTGCCGTGCAATTAGTATTAGTTGTTTCACGCATTATTGTTATTTGACCGTCTTACTAAATATGCCCAGAAGTAGAGGCTCGTGGTTACTGCATTGGATCCTTTTATTTTTCTCCCTACTACAATGAGTCATAATACTGAATTACATAATTGACCTTGTATTACACCAGACCTTACATGGGTGGCTGTTAAATCTTTTTTTGTCATACCTGTGAGGGGGGCCTTTTATTTCCTTAGTGCCTACCAGACCCTGGAGGCTTCCCTCAGTCCAGGCTGAGTCACATGAGCCTAGCTTGGAGAAATCAGCAGTTTCAGTCATATTGATTATATAAGACTATACACAGCATGGACCTAGATGACTGGGATCTGAATTAGAAAGGTCAACATCAATCTTAGCTTCCTATGAAAATAATCTATATGACACAGTGTTGATATCAAAGCCGTGCTGAAAGGATACTTCTTGACATACTCAAGACAAACAAGATACAATCTACTTTTTCAAGCTTGCTGTTTTCATCTGGTTAGTACTTAGAAGTAATCGTCCCCTGAAAAAAAAATCTTGTCTTTTCAATGGACTTGACCACTAGAAATTATGTGTCAAAGACCTATGGCAATGATGTACGCCCTTTGATTCTTCAGTGAGATAAAAGGGGCGAAAGCAGACATTTGTGTCAACAGGTGGTTAAGCAGCTCTTGCCCACAGCAATAGCCGTCTATGTTTTCAAACCCTTTTACAAAGGGCCAGCTATTTTAACAAATCCCACAGAAACCCACAAACACCCAACAACTGATCATTTAAACTTCTGTATAATTATTTTTGGATGCAAGCGGAGATGATTATGCACGATATTCATTATGCTATTGACACACACAGTTACTACAGCTTAAAATTTGTAAACAAGTAACCATGGTTGCAATCCAGAATCTCTTTCAAATTTTGAATTGTTTCCTTTGGAAAATTTTGCCCTTAAACACTGTACATTACGCATTTTATTCAGTCAACTCTTTTACTGAATAATAATAAAATAAATAAAATGTAACTAATGAGAAAAGTATCATGTTACTTAGAATTATGTATATATTGTTACTTAATTACCTATATAAATGTGATCAATCATTTAAAAAATAACTTTGCAAAGTAAATTAGTAAAATGTGAGGAGTTCACATGTCCTGTCCATCTTATGTGGGTTTTCTCTGGGTACACTGGTTTCCAGAGGCATGTATTTAGGCTAACTGGTATCTGTGAATTTCCGGCAGAGTGTGCCTGTGTGCCCCGTGAATGACAGGTGTCCCGGCCTGGTGTCCCTCAGTCCTGCTCCCAGTGCTGTCTGGGTTAGGCTCTGGCCCCTGCGTCGCCCTGACCAAGCTAAGATTGGTTGGTCACACTGTTTATGCCACAATTGATAAGATGCTCATTATAAAATTTTACATTTCCTTTAATGTTTAACATCTCCTTCCATATATGCAAACTGGACACACAGAGTTGGGGTGGGAAATTAGCGTCAGCTTATTAATTTCAGAAATATTATACATACTAATCAGTAAATAACTGGTGACATTTTTGCTGAGCCTATCTGTAATGGATTTTTAACTTTTTTAATGTCCATACCTTTACTGGGCAATCCTACTCCAGTGAAATTCTTTTTTGAGGGAAACACCTTTAATGGGGAGGTAGAATTCTTGCAGTTTACTCTTACAAGAAAACTACAATGAGACATTTATATAATAAAAAGCAGATTAATTATCATAACATTTTATGTGTTTTCAGATCAAATAATAACTTTCCATTTTCAGTGCTTAAAAATAAAAAAACTACTTGACATCAAACAGATACAAGGGAAACAACCAACAGAAGAATATTTTAAAAGAATGCAAACATAGTTACATTTAAAAATCATACAGAAAAAAGCCAATGCAAAAAATGAAAAATGTGTATGTGTGTGTGTGTGCGCGCACGCATGTATGTGTGAGATTGTATGTGCGTGTGTCATGTATATATTTACTGTATATACTGTATTTACATGTATATATGGTTAAGGTTAGGGCTGGGTAGGGGTTAAGGTTGTCATGGTTGGGATTTGGGTTTTGTCCATAGAAATGAATGGATGGTCCCCACACAGTGTGTGTGTGTGTATGTGTGTGTGTGTGTGTGTGGATTATGTTTATATTACATCGTGGGCACCAAATGTACCTCACAATGTGATAAAAACCTGTTATTTTGACTTTGTTAGGTCCATTTTCCAGGTCCCCACAATTATCTGTGAATGCAATCAAAAAACGAAAAATGCCAAAAGTCTCGTATTTTGTTTGGTTACTTATGGTTAAGGTTAGGGCTGGGTAGGGGTTAAGGTCATTTTGTTAGGATTCGACTTTACGCCATAGAAATAATTGGAGAGTCCCCACAAAGATATAATTACAAACGTGTGTGTGTGTGTGCGGTTTAGGTTTGTATTACATTGTGGGAACCAAATGTCCCCCACAAGGTAATAAAAACCTGTTATTTTGACATTTTCGGGTCCGTTTTTCAGGTCCCCATAAAGATTTGCGAATGCAATCACAAAAGTAAAAATGCCAAATGTCGCGTAAAGAGTTTTCCCCATAGAGCCATAATGTACAATGAAAGACAATGGGCCGCCACAATTGGCTAGTTTGCCTATAAATGAGGTCGAATGTGTAAGTTTGTTTCAATCCTGTGCCGAACAGGTTAAATCCATAAGAGTAATAAAGCAGCTGCCCACCCCCACCTCCAGCTACCAGGGTGGGTAGGATGTATGTTGAGCGCGAGCTGTGTGAAACTGTGTAGGAGAGGCTAAGAAAAACATTCCGGCCTGGCAGCAATATTGTTGGAGGGGAGGCAGGGGGACAGGGAGAGAGAGAAGGGAGAGGTGAGGTAATATCTCTGGGAAAGTGTGGCTGGATCGCATTCTTCTCTCTGTCTCCGAATGTAGTGAGATGTGGAGGCTTGGCAGGGAGAACCGGAGGGTGGGGGGTGGGGGAGGGGGCGAGCCTGTACTAACCAGCCTGACAGCTCAAGGGGGTGTAGGCTTTGGCACTAAGAACCACCATTATTTAATCCCCCAACCTTTCCACCACGCACTTTCCGAAACACACACGCACGCTGGCTCGCTTTCGGCATGGCTTTGAGTGTTTGTTGGCGAAACCTCTTGGGATTATGGACGCTCTCGTGTCTCAGACTCCCTTTGTGGAAGGTAGACTCGTACCTCCACCACTGGCTTCCAACTCATCGCCTTACATGTCTGGGTACATTCTCCGGTCTTTGGCATCATATGTTTAAGACCAAAGACAAAGTGTCTTTCTAACTGCCCTAACGCCAAGTATCAAGGTTGGTCTGGTCACAGCTGTAAGGAACCAATGCTCAGATGCAAACTTGGGATTTAAAATGAACGTGCCAGATGAAAACAGCACCTTGACTGTGGTCCATGTGCGCATTATGTGACAGGACAGAGATTTTTAGCAATGATAAGTGCAGATAAAGTGTCCAAAATAGCTGGTCAGTATAGACCCTAGTTACTCTATATTGTTCAAAATAATTTCGGCCTAGATAATACTTCACAACTGCAACAATGTTACATGCATGTACTGCTAAATACTTCACAGATACTTTTCTCATTCAAGTAAGTGATGTATACCTACTGAATGCATCTATTCACCAGTGTATGACGTTTCCTCACAGTCTACATATAAGCCATAAAAAAAAAGAGCTGCTAAAATTCTTAGCTTTAACAGTGATTAGGTTAATTAGCAGAAGTAGAAACCTGTGTAAAAGTCTATGGCAAAAAGATATCCAATTGGTTTTCAGTAATACTATTGTCTGATGCTTTCACCCGCAGATATGATGCAAAAGACAGGTAATGTTGTGATACTGCCGACGTACATTCAGAAGGAACAATGTTGCCCAATCAGTACGCCCAATGCTCAGAGTCAAAGGCAAGGGGAATGGCAGGTATGGTATATAGACATGGATAAGACATTCATTGAAAAGACCTGAGAAATACGACAGAAACATTGCTTATGGACAGAGCAGGTAGGTGTTTGTTTTGTCTGAAAGTGTCCAGATGTTCGGCTGAAGACAATAGCAGAGTTTACTTTAACAACCTATTATAGCAATAGAGATGACCTGACCATTATTAGAAAAAAAGATAGTGGTCTGTTATATACACAGGAAGTAGCTGACTTCTGTGACAGCGGGAATTTTGTCCTGATATGAATTTCGTGCGTCTAACATTTGCCCGTTTTCTTGCTCGGATGTTTATATGCTAGAACCTAAGCATGCTCTGGGGATGATGTGAAGTCTTGGGCTCAAACTGGGAGTCACAGAGCAAGAGCAAAGATACAGAAAAGTGTGGGTGTAGTCTATGGTATTTGTCAAGTCAGCTAGAAAATAAAAGTTGTTCTCAAAAGATCCTGAAGAAAAAAAAAACTTTCCAAAATTTTCATTGTATCATTGTGCATCAGTATTTCTGTTTAGCATTAAGACCACTGTTTGTAGCACTTAGGAAAATTGTAGGAAAATTACAGAACTGACAGTCAGGTTGCAATTATTTCTCAGCAGCATATAATTGTTACTTGTTTGGTGAATATAGTAACTGATGGCCCTGTTTTTTCTGTTCTAATTTGAGAAGTATTTTACATATAGTAATGTTGCAAGAGAGGTGAGTATTTAAGCTCTCTATTAAGTTAAAGGTCTTTATACTGGCCTGTGTAATATCTGAAATTTTAAAGCGCCTTTTTTCTTCTATTTGATAAATTTGAATTGTGCCAACGAATTACCAGTTTTACAAACAGGATGGTACCTTTTCCAGTTGCTGTAATTATTTCAACTAACTTTGGAACTTTCATGGATTGGAAATACTACACTTTATAATCAACAGCAGGCAACAAATTTACTCTCAGTCAGGTCTACTGATAAAGATTAAGAAAAAGTAATGCTGTGTATATCGTGGCAGATGTTTATGGGTCCATTTGAGTTCTTATGTTATGTGGTACAGTGTATTATATGCCATATTAAACATTATGGACGCCTTCGAGTGGTCAGAGATCATGTATGTTGTGTTGTATATCGTATCATTTGACTTCCCCTGCCGGCCCCTGGAGGATGGGCTCCCCCTTTGAGTTTGGTTCCTTCCTTCTAGGGAGTTCTTCCTTGCCACTGTCGCCTCTGGCTTGCTCACTAGGGGCTTTGGGTGGAGATTCTATGAAGCGCTTTGAGACAATGTAATGTTATACCATAGATGAGTTACATACAGGAAATAATTTACTGTAGTTATAAAGATTGCACCCATAGCTTCCAGGATAGGCACTGGAACCCCGTGACCCTGAATAGGACAAGCGGGTAAAGAAAATGGATGGGTGGATGGATGGATGGATGGTCTTAAACATGAACTTAATCTGAATTATATGTATTTATAGCTGCCTCTGAAACTTGGATTGAAAAGTAACTTAAGATTGATAAATCAATTAAAAGACACAACAACACAAAACTGTACAGAATACGCTTTTAATATGTCAGTTTAATGTCAGAGTACACCAATATAATATTTACTGTTTTGTAATGTTACTTTTCAGATTTGAATTACTGATTCTCTGGCACGCTATTTTATTAAAATGTCTGCAGTCACTTATTGTTTGAACAGCAAAATATCGGTACATAAAAAGCATCACAAAAAGAGATCATGCATACTGCTAGTAACTTTTCCGTTTCATTTGATTGTGCCGGCATTTCGTGACAGAAATCACACCTTTAAACGGTCTTGTAGTTGTACAGCACCTGCTAACAGGTACAGAGTTGTAGGCCAGCGCACACTCCCTCCCACACAGCTCTGATAGCCTGTTAGCCTCTTCACACAGAAGTAGTACTGAACAGCCCAGAAGCAGCTTCACGGGCTCATCTGTGAGCTACATCATTATCTGTGCAGCAGCACAGGTGAATGTGCAGGGACCGCTGCCAAATAGTTTTGGTTAGGAGGGAGGGGTGCTCGGTGGTGGGTGTGTACTCTTTTCATATATAACCATTTGGTGGAACAGTTTGTTTCCCTCTTACGGGTAACTGACACACCTCCGGCAGGAAAATTGAGCTCTTCTGTCTTTCTCTCTCATTTTCACATGCCGCAAAGGATAAGACTCTGCTTCCTGACAAGAACTGGGGGCGAGGCGATTTGAAAAACGGCTATCTACTGAAAGGTCAGCAGTATTTATCAAAACATGATTCTTTTCCTGTGTTTTTACGAAGTATGACTCTATGAAGGGGTCAAAGGGTTTAAAGAGTTACTGTGTGCATGACATCTCAGGTTGTCTTTGGTGTTGAGATAAGGTCTCCAGATTGTTTCTGGATTGGGTGGGGCTAAAGACCACTGCAACACATTGTTAATGCCGTCTTTTTGCATTCCCAAAGGGGCTATCTGCACTTAACACCAGGTACAATGTGGGTAACCAAGATTACTGTAAACTTGGTTTGGGGCAGTTACATATTGGGAATTGTGCAGCAGTTGGGAAGACACAGCAGAGATATTTATAAGGATTTATTTATATATGTATTAATGGAAAGTTGTGTTTTTTTGCTATATTTCATATCACATTACAGTGTCATTTGTATATTTTATATGATGTTTTAGTTTAACAACACATATGATTAATATGTATAATATAGGATCACTTATATATGTAAACATTCACCAGGTCAATAATAATCATCATCCCCGCTGCATATCTTATCATCCTTGACATCATACATGGAAATGCCTTTTTAATGCACTAAAATATGATTCAATACATTTTCAGTATAGTTTAATTACAGCAGAATTATCATTCATAAAATCTACTTACAATGATAACAACCTTACATTTGCCATGAAGTACTCCTAATTAATTACAAATATATAATGCAAAAAATACAACTGTATGGTGAATGTGTGCTTCTTGCAGAATGTCAAGGCATTTAAGATTATTTCACAAAATCCTGTGAAGCATTGTTGGCTAATAATGTTTGGTATTTGATACGCAGGACTAAATATATACCACTAACCCACATACTGCTTTTATAGCATTTATCATGAGACATTTCAATGCAGAAATAATTTTTTTCATTGCTTGTCGTTTAGACTAAGTTTGGGGCAGACTTTGTATTATGAGGATGATTACTAGGTCCTGGAATCTCATTTGTATTTTATCATGTGTGGCCATCGTAGTGAAATCACAGGGGATCACAGGTGCCTTTCTAGAGCTTTCAGCAGGCGATAATATTACAGTGCTGTAGTCATTCTTTTTTAACCAGGTGAAAATGAATTGATTTTAAATCAGAACACTGTGTTTGCATGTTGGGCATTTCTGTAAATAATTGACAAATAATGGTGAATTTTGTTCTGTTCATTTGAGCTTGTTCAAAGGGTTATTTGGGGATAATAGCCACACCCTAGTCTATTTAGTCAAAGGTTTCATTACCTTTGGTTCAGACATAGTTTATCAATGTTGAACCTGTTCCTGGGAGCTCCTTTGTTTCCACCAGGATATTTTTACATTGGCATATTCACAAGTATTTCTGCCGTAATTCCTATTATTTACTGTGAGTGAGAACACTTTAAGCACTGTGGTATTTAGGTTAGTCTGTACAAATAACACAAAAACCTGTTACATGTATACAAAATTTGTTCATACAGTATATATGCAATGTATATATATTTCAATAAATGAGATTAAATTGAAATACAATTTTCAATCATGTAATGTTGTGTTTTGCATATATAACACAGTACCAATAACTATTTAAATACAAGTGCTTAGTATATATAATTAGTATGCATAATTTACTAAATATAGTTAAAATGTGACGCAGCAGAGGCCTCTTCGAGGGGTGCGACAACAAAAGAATGGCTGAACTGGCCACCTGAGCGGGCAGCTCAGCGTTTCTGCCGATCCTCTGCAGCTAAGCTGCCCCACTGCCGTGGTGTGTTCGTCCGTGCGAACGACATGGTCTATGTGTGCACACAATCCTCCTCCGTAGCAGCAGAAGCACAGGTTCAATGAGTAAGCGTTAGGCCATGGGTGGCGGAGCACAGATGAATAGAGGGTGGGAGGAAGGCCTGAAGAGGCTTTTCAGGGTGGGAGGCAAGATCCGTGCCAAAAAAACAAGTTTGGGGATTTGTGTACTTTGTGTTACTCACAACTCTTTTTGAAAGCTGTCAGGTACATACTAACACACCCAGAGGTCTTTCTGCTTAATATCAAGGCTGTAAAGAACACACGTCATTGTGCTAGGATCTCCACAAGCATGAGACCCACTATGTTCCAATCGCTACACACATCGTATCAATAATAGGAAATTGTAACTGTCATAGGCAAAGTGGTCTGTAATATTTAAGGTGAATGCATTTGTAAAATTAAACATCAACAAGCTACTACCTTCATACTAACAATATATATTGTGTGGCACGTACTGTACCAAACAGAGCCTGCAACTGAAATGGATGAATACCCATCAGCGGATACCTAGAAATATCATTGGACATTAAGTTCAAATGAAAGGCAAGGATCATTCAAGCCAGTGCAAATCAATGGAAGCCCTCAGATCGCGGTCTGTTCCACATGTGAACAAGCGATAGAGGCGGGGCCAATGAAATAGGCCGTTACAGCCATCATGTATTTCTGAATGAACGCATGTAGAGCTTTGAAAACAGGTCTGGGGGATGCATATTAATCTCAGAAATGTATTTTGTATTTTCTTCTAAAGATCATAGTTTTGAAAACTGGGTCCACCCACTGGTGTGAAGAGAAGAGGGATCTCACCATAAGAGAGAACTGTGTGGGTCCTATCTCTGAAAACGAGGCCGCATTGATCCGCCTACGTGCTGAGGCACAGATCACTTTTGATGCGTGAGAACTGCTGTTGCTCATGCCGGACAGATATCAGGTACAGCCGTGACACGGAGACGGGAGAGAGCAGGAAGGGAATCCGGGCGAATGTCTGCCATTTGGCGCCCCAGCCTTTGCATGAGGCTGTCTTGACAGGCGTCTGTAGCCTCTGCCCTCCAGCCTGGCTGGTTTTAATTAGTAGGTGTTGGACTGCCGGAGGGCAGGCAGAGCCGATCTGACCGTCATCTGCTGGCCCTCATTATCACAGAGAGAAGGTGTCCTTGCTCACCCCGAGGTCCTAACCCAAACAGGGTAAACACATTAAATCACCCTCAAGGCTCTACTATAAATGTGGCTGATCAACTTGTTAAAGTAGCTACACTAAACAATCAGTACTTTACGCTCGTATAGCGAGAACATCAGTCACACAGATCTGGGGGTGATTAACAAACTTTTTTTTGTTGGTCTAATGCGTAAAGATCAGCCCTCCCCACTTCCCAAGAGAAAACCGTATATTGGAATTTGAAAACCTACTAAACAAAAAAAAAAAAATAATAATATATTTGTCAGCTAAAAGTATTGTGACCCCTTCCTCCTCTCACCATGCGGAGTGTGTGCAGAGGAGCAATAATGACCTTGCTTCTGGAAGATTTGGAGTCGTGGGGGGTTGTCCTTGGAGGCCTGAGTGGAAGGTTTTCCCACCTAAGGAGGTCTGAGAAGCGTGGGCCTATCTGCAGAGGGATTTATTGGCAGGCGAGCAGCCGTGGGGGTGCCAGAAGCTTTCCCACAACCTCAGTCTTCCCAAACACCAGGAGAGGAGAAGGTGAGGACAGCAGACTTAGCTTACAGTACATGAGCTGCAACAGATACCAGTAGAACCTACAGCACAGGTGTCTAACTCCATTTCTAGCTGTCCATGTCTATGCAGCCTTTTGTTTCAAGATCCCATAATTATTTAATTTGTGCATTTTTTATAGATATTTTAGCCTGTTTTCAGGAACTACGCACTTAGGCGATATGCTAAGCTAGTATTTTAAGGTTTTTTTGTCCGCGTGCAATGAGCAAATTTAAGATAATGAGCTCCAACATGACCAAATAATTTCAATGCATGTAGAGTGTTCAGTTCTGTAGTTAATGTACTAGTTGTTCTGAGAGTCCCCAATTTTATTCTTCAGAATCGTAATGCTAGAGGTAACCCTCAGGTCCGACTGCTCAATGCCTTCCAACCAGAGCTTGTCCTTGTGCTGGGATACACATAACAGCGTTCAAAGTCCATTCTCAACATGGAGAGGTTTACTTGACCAAGGTTATGTGTCATCTTCATGTACTGTAGGAGAATCTTGACATATCTCCTAGGGTAAGGACTAATGTGATTGAACACAATCACATTAGCTTGCACTCGTTTTTAAGAAAATTTGTCTTGGCTAGATAAGCTGAGCAAATAGTATCAGGGAAACAACATGTTTTTAATATATACAGTTACGAAGGGGTTCTGTTCCCTAAGTCTGCCTTTACATCTGAACAATAATGATACAGTCATGTCTGCATCTACCATTGAGGGCATTTTGGTTTTTTGCATTTTTTTCCACTATCTTTTGTCATTGAAATTATTTTTCAAAATGATTATTGGCGCTCTCAGAAAGAGGCAAAAATTCACAAGTTACACTATAGTTTGAAAAAAAATTCTCGGGGGGGGTCATGCTCCTGAACACCCCTAGGAAGGGGTAACACTTTTGACCTCGGTATTTTTAAAGTCTTGGCAGCGGCCCTGAATACAGTCCATAATAATAATTACTATGTAGTAATAATAAAGTAACTATATACTGTAGTGTACTGTATGGCGAGCCAACAAACCACTGAAGCCATTCAATGCTGTCATCAGCATCTCAAAGTAGTGCATGCATTCGCTATTACAAACCATTGTATTTAACCTAAATTTTTTATATAATAGGTAATAGTGATACAGAGTAGATAGTAAGGATTTTGGGTCCATTGTAGTGGTGGAAGCCTTTAAATTAGGGTGCAGGTTATAATGTGACTAAACATTTATGGTAATTTTAAAAGAATACAGAACTAAAGGTGCTTGACAGAGCACAGATCTAGTTGGATGCAGTGTTTTCTCTGGTTGAAAAATTGTAGGACAGGATGCAGCTGGCCTGACAGATTTCCTGTAAACTTGTTCCCAAATAGCGAAAAGATGTAGCTGGAGGTATCTTGTCGTACCCTGTCGAGAGGAGAGGAAGGCTATGGCGACACTCTGAGATTGTAACTAAGACCCTATAATTGACTTTTTAGATATACACTGGTCTCCACTCCATTCATCTTCGATAAAAACC